ATTTATGGAGTATTTTACTATGTGCCAAGCACTGCTGGGTGGTGGGGGTACATAGTAATGGGTAACTCCAGACACGTTTCCTCCCTCATGGATGTTACAGGTGAGGAGACAGGCTCAGAAAAGTTAAATACTATGCCCAAGTTTAATCACTAGTACATGTGAGTTCATGGAGTCCTCCTGGTATGTGGATAATATAAAGCAAAGGTCCTGCTCTTACCTGGAGTCAGGGGCTGAATTGAGAGTCTCTGGCGAGTGAAGAGAACCATATTTTTTAAGGGGCCTCCAGTGGTTTTGTGAGCTTGGTAATGGGTTTTGAGCTCAGCCAGGGTAATGTAACGCTTCATCATCCGAACAAACTGTACATCCACCTGTATGACAGAAAGATATGTTCAGGTAGATTCTGTCCACTGTGTGTTTTAGCTTCTTGTGGGAGGTTCTTATGGGCAGGGCTGCCAGTGTTCTGTTCTTATCCCCAGAGCTAGGGTAACCTCATCTGAGTGTAAGACCCGGACTCTGTACCTTAACCTAAAGACACCACACACCTTCTTCCTCCCTCTCTTTGTCCATCCTTTTCCTCTCATGAAATAGGAAAAATAGTTGTCTTTACCATGGACCATTTGGGGTTGTCTTCTTTGCTGGATGGGTCATAATGGGGACTGTTTTTCTCAAACTGTGTGTGGTCTGGATAAGCCTCCTTCACAATCTGAAACCAAAACCAAGTCTCTAATCATATGCCTGTATAGTCAGCTCCATGGCCAATTTTTAATTCAAGTCCAGCTTTCACTTCTGACCCTGCACACACTCAGCTCTTTTGTTTTGCTATAGAGCCACTATATTTGGAAATAATACGCAGTCTAGAGCAAGCATAGGAAATCAAACCTGTTTTGACAAAAACCTTAAGAGTAGGTTTTAAAACCAAGTATTAAAGGTTATTATTGGTACCACTGTTTTTCCACCTGCAGGTAATAATCTTTTCCTAATAACTTCTGGTTTGGAAGAGCTATCATCAGGTCTGCTTTTGAGTAAAAGACCAAGGCACAGAAGTGAAGAGAAGTCTGTACCAGTGGGACCTGAAATGAGGCCTGCCTTGTTACAGTCCTTGCTGTATTGACGGGGCCAGGGTGGTTTTTCCATATTCTTGTGACATCAGGGATGGGGAGGAGAGTACTTCCTTTCTGTTACTGATCTAAGCTGTGTTCCTTTAGATCTATATGAATAAGTCTCCCTGAAGGGAGAGGGATTAAGACCAACGCTTGTACAACTAACCTTCACAAGTCCTGCGATGCCTGGCTCTTTGCAGTTGCTATGGTAGAAGAACGCTTCTTGCTCCAACTGCATGGCTCGAAGGAAGTTCCGGGCCTACCCCAGGGGAAAATAAACAACTATCCTCTTCACCCGCTGGAAAACACTAGTTAGCGGAAATCAAGTCTGCTTTTATTAGATGAGTTTTTCTTTTTTGCAGCTTCTCCCCAATTCAATACTTGCCTTTGCCAAGACACCCAGACTTGTATGCAGACACTGGCCAGAACACAGGCCATTCGTAAACTGCATACAGAGGAATCAAGGTGGTTTTGAATACATGTTTAGGGTTAGGATCTGGGGAAAAAACAATGTTGGCCAAGAGATTTTGCTACTGAATAAGTCCTAGGAAGGAGGCAGGCATTTCTCCGACCCCGGGTCTCGGGCCCTGCTCTTACCCTCTTACCTGGTAGTTGCGAACACCATCCCAGCATGCTGTCTGCTTGGGCTGTGCTTGAAGATCCTCAATGCTGAACTAGGCAACAGGAAATGAATTCATTCCTTAAACAGTCTTGGGGCCAGTTGGTAATATATGGAAGTAGACAGTTTCTTCCCCTGTGTTGAGGATACTTCTTGCTGTAGTGGAAGCCTGTAGTTTACTGGGAAGTGGTCCCACAGAGCCACTTCTATTGGGCAAATGGACAGTAAGCTTTGCACTCCCTTGTTATCCTTGCTAATTAAAAGGACTAGATGAATAGATAATCTAGATGATAAAATAATCTTGGTTATTTGTATTTCACTCATTAAAGTATTATATATTTCTATTTTCTCTAGGCTGTTATTAAAATTGATTTATATTAATTCACTGAAGATACAGTTGGCAGAGAGATACGTAGGAGTACGGTAGGTGGCAAGAACAAGGCAACAAGATTGAAATGTTGCCCAGGTCAGGGGTTGACAAACTACAGCTTTGTGCCCATGCCTGATTTTGTAGTTTTATCGGAGCACAGCCACACCGTCTGATTACATGTTGCCCAGATACACTTTCTTGCCAACACCAGAGCTGAAACAGCAACCATAGGACCGGAAAACCTAAAATATTATCTGGCCTTTTATGGAAAGTTTGCCACCCCCTGCCCTAGATAGAGGATTCACAAAACAGATAGTTGCTGGTAATAAGTCCTGCTGATTTTATTCCTTATAATCTTTTCCCTAACCCTACCCTTCAGAGAAGCTGGTGATGGAACCCCGTGGTGTCCCATATTCACTTCTTATCTGAAAAAACAGCTTGAAGGGATTAGAGAGGTACCTGGTCTCACCTTCACATCTACACCTTTTTCTAGTCGGCTTTCTGGCTCGGACTTCATCAGCCAGTAACTGCTTAGATTCTTCCCACAGTTTTTAGAGGCTGAAGCCTTCTCAGGGCTGGAGTTACCCATTGTAGCTGATGCCCCTACTGGGTTCTTAGTCTTGGTACGTTTTCCTGCTGGCCCCTTACTGTCTGCAATAGAAGCAAAAAGAAGAAACTGGTCATGCCTGCTGAGAAGTAATGCTCCGTCGTGGGGAAAGCACATGCTTTGGAGTCAGACCTGGACCCAAATCCTGGATCTGTCAATAACTGGCAGTAGCAGCTGAATTGCTGAACTTCAGTTTATCTAGAAAAATGACACAGGAATGCCCACCTTACAGGGTATCTCCTGGATTATACATTCAGTGAGATAAGAATAGAGTACATGGTTGTGGGTTAGGACTGACAGAGTCCCTGGTTTCTACTAAGTAAATTCTTTTCTTTCCCTCACTTCTGGGCCTTTGCTGAGGCTCTCTCTACAATAAGGAAACCGAGCACCTACTCCACAGACTTATTTTGAAGATTAAATAAGGTAGTGTAAACAATGGACTTAAATAATGGCCGACATTATAATAAATGCTTAGTAAATACTATCATCACCATCTCATGGTTCTTTTTTGCTTGCTCACTGTGCTTTGTGGCCTGCTCCTTGAAGGTGCCAAGAAATGTTGGATAAGACAGCTCATTCTGGTCTTTGTAGACGTGGCAAAGATGATTTTTTTCCAAAGAGAATTAGAGAAAATGTGCCTGGAACATAGTAGGCACTCAACAGCTAACAGTTGTTCAATTCTTACTATATAAGCTCTATTTGTTACCCTAACGGTAACTCAGTTAATCTACATAATGTATGAGATGTCTGTTCATCTGCTAAATGTGTCCCAGGTTACACATTTTAGTAAACAGTATAATCAGGAACCGTACCCTGGTCTATCTGAATCCACACTTAATGACTATACCACACCACCTCTGAATTAAGTCCCAGCTCCTACATCAGCTCTCATTAAGTATCATTTATAGATGTCTAGTAGTTAGATCCTCCCTAGCTTAGTTTTTAGGTGGTCCCTTTGGAGTTAAGTACACTGCTAACACCATTATGTGTTGCTAAATAACACAATGTGTTGTAGTCAGTCCAAAAGCACTTTCTCTACCTTCATTTGCTTTGTTCCTGTTCTTCATCTTCCATATAACATGAATATAAAAACAGCATCGCATTTTCTTTGGCTGTGGAAAGCTTTCCCATTCTTTAAGGATGGACTCAAGTTCCACTTCCTTCTCAAGGTGTTCCTCCCTGCTCTCATACCCTTAGCCATGGTTTCCTAAGACCCTTTCACTTATGTCTGTTTGCATTTTCCATGAGAACACAATTGTATGTTCCTTACCTTTGTACAAGCCACCATGTATCTACACCAAACAGCTACTGCTTCAATAAACAAACAGAAGAGGCTCTGGGTATAAGCTCGGTGGGAAGAGGAAAGGAGAAGATGGAGGGCAATTAGGGAAAACATTAACAAAAACAATCCACAAAGGATACTCCCCACAGGCAGGGAGTTGAAAGTGAACAGTATTTCTTTTTTAAGATTTATTAATTTGAGAGAGAAAGAGTGCGTGAGAGCCTGGGTATGAGCAGAGGGAGAGGGAGGAGAAGCAGACTCCCCGCCGAGCACGGGGCGCAAGTGGGGCTCGATCCCACCCGAAGAGTATAACCTGAGCGGAAAACAGGAGTCCCACGCTCAACCGACTGAGCCACCCAGGTGCCCCGAAAGTGAACAGTATTAAACAGATCCTACAGAAACTTTGATACAGGGCTGCCTTTTTGCAGCCTGGGTGCAGCTCACCTGGCCCACCAGGCCCAGCAGCCCCGGCGAGCCTCTTCCGGGGTTTCGGCATGTTTTCCCTGCGGGGACCGAAGAGCAGAAGATTCCAAATCAACCGAGAGAAACAAGACGCAGCTCCGTTACTTGCCCCCAGAAACCTGCGCAGAGCAAGATGGAGACAATGAGAGGAATCGGAGTCTCAACCCCGAGGGGTTTTTGCGGGGAACAGATGCAACTGGACTTGGGACCCTCAAATCTTTCCCAGTTATCTACGCCCCCATTTCCATCTTGCATAACCTGCGCTCAAGTCTCCTCGGTTCTCTCCCTGATCCTCATACATTCACCATTCTCCCGAGCCACCGATTCCACGGCTCCGCAGACAGAACCCCACCCAGGCGCCGGAAGGCCGGCGCGGAGTGCCCCCGTCTAAGTAACACACGGCCCTTTTTCGCCACGGCCCGGTATCTGGGAGTGGTAGTCCTGCGCCTCGGGCAGGCCCGCCTGAGTCCGGGCCGTGAGGGCCGCCGGACGCACTACAGCTCCCAGGGTGCACTGGGGGGCCTGGTTGATGCGCTGGCGCCGGTCCACCGCCGGCGGGTTCTGGCTGGAGGAGAGCTTGTTGCCATGCTGCGGAGCGGCTGCTGGCGGCTGAGAGGGTGGCTCCACCGCCCGCGCGGCGCTCTGCGGGGTTCTGCCGAGAGCGGCCGCCGGGGCTTGGTGTCCTGCATAGATCGTAAGACTCACCCCGCCGGTGCAGGTGTCCGGTCCCCGGGCGGGGAGGGCTGAGGGCCCACAGAGCGGTAGTCACCGCCGGCTCGCCCTGGGCGGTCACCTGGGCCACCCTCCCCGCCAGGCCTACCTGCCCCCTCCCGAGTGGGCTTCCTCTGCCGGCTGGTGTCCCCATTCTGTCCACCTGGCTGGCCTCTCTGGCCGCCCTCACTCCCTGCGGTCTCCATCTGCTGCGCCCCTGGGCCTTTCTGGTACTCTTCACCGGCCCCCAAACTCCTGCGCGGGAAGCCTGGCGTCCGAAACTCGTGCTGCAGGCGGTCCCCCGGCTTCTGAGCTGTCTTCCCTCCTGCCCACGTCACAGGGCCCTCTGAAGATAAATGAAGATGGGAAAATGTAACTTAACCTTTGTGGCTGATGATATTTGTTAATTGTTCAGGTCTTCCAAAAACGTAGTATCAGCCTCTTGATAATCAGGTTTAATAAGTAAATTGATTTACTTATGAATACACTAACCAAGGGTTTGGTAATGATCCTCACAACTCTGAGGCAGATTCTCTTATTATCCTTACTTTCAGATAAGTAGTGGGTGCATAGAAACTCCTGACTTTGTTTTGTCTTGTCTTGTCTTAATCCTAGATCATTTACAGTCGGGTAGTAAAGATGTGAATAGCTTGGGGCTGGTTGTGGTAGATGAAGCACTGTTACTTCTTTAAGTGATAGAAGATCTGATCAGGTAAATTTTGTGATTTACCACCTGTAGTTATAAAACACTTTTACTGTTGAAATTCCCGTTGAAAAATAATTATTATTGAAAGTGGGAAACTACCCACAGTACACAGACCTGAATGTCTTCAGGCACCAGGCAAATAATTTGGATGTGAGTAACGGAGAGTGATGGGGGCCTAGGCCCACTGGGAATACCCAGCCACTTTGTGACTCTGTCCAGTGCCTCATTTTTTTTCTTCTGGAAAAAAAATTCTTTTTAATAAATGTCGCTCTTCTTTATAACAGATTTGGTATGCATCCCTTAGATTGACACCCAGATCTATGACATACACTAGTATAGAATACCGTTTTCTTCTCGGTGTCCTAAAACTCCTTCACAAGGTGCTGTCCATTCTAGCAATTAGAATTAGGTAAACAAGGTCACCCTTGCGGATACCAAGGCAAATAAGGAGTTGTCCTGGCAACAAATAGATTAAATATTTAATAGGCTAGTATTAAATAATAACGAATAGTTTACATATGCTGGAGTATTTCCAGCAGCTGGTTGTGTAGCTTCAGCCAGTGAGGTACTTTTACACCTTTTTAAAAGAAAGTACCTCTTAACTAGTAAAATGAAAGGAAACTGCCTTTTCAATGTATCATTCTCCATATTAGAATATCAAATTAATGGGAGTGCTTAACTAACATTTGTTTCATTACATATTTTAATAAGTGAAAAATGATTTTTAAGAGAATTATGATTTGTATTTTATTTAATATATGTTACATAAATTCATTATGCATACTTGCCTCATTCTGCAGATGAGGAAATTTATTCAGTGTCTAGTGCAGCCCCATTTGACAGTGGGATAACCGAAGTTGATTGGGATAACCTGACTTACTAGAAGTTGTGCATTTAATAACTTCCTTGTCTAGTGCTCTTCCACTACACTTTGCCGCAACGTCCCAAGCATTCTTTGAAACATCAAGACTCTCAAATAAAACTGTTGATTCTCTAGTTATGTTTCTACTTGGGATGCATTTAAAGATTCTTATATTATTTAGAGTTTTTGTTTTGTTTTTTGGTTTTTTTTGCCCATTGCTTACACTTAGGTTGCTATACAGTGAAGGGTTTCCTCAAGTCCTTTGGGCCCTTTTTCTTTTCTTTTTTTCTGAGACAGAGAGAGCGTGTGCATGTATAGGCATGTGGGAGGGGCAGAGGGAGAGGGAGAGAGGGAATCTTTTTTAATTTAAATTCAATTAATTAACAATAACTTATTATTATTTTCATAGGTAGAGGTCAGTGATTCATCAGTCTTATATAACACCCAGTGCTCATTACATCACATGCCTTCCTTAATGTCCATCACCCAGGTACCCCATTCCTCCATCTCCCTCCCCTCCAGCAACCCTCAGTTTGTTTCCTATGATTAAGAGTCTCTTATGGTTTGTCTCCTTCTTTGATTTCATCTTGTTTATTTTTTCCTGTCTTCCCCTATGATCCTTTGTTTTGTTTCTTAAATTCCACATATCAGTGAGATCATCTGATACTTGTCTTTCTCTGATTGACTTATTTCACTTTGCATAATACCCTCTAGTTCGATCCACATTGTTGCAAATGGCAAGATTTCTTTTTTTTTTCTTTTTTGTGGCTGAGTAGTATTCCATTGTTTATATATGCACCACATCTTCTTTATCCATTCATCTGTCGATGGACATCTGGGCTCTTTCCATAGTTTAGCTATTGTGGATATTGCTGCTATAAACATTGGGGTGCAGGTGCCCCTTCGGATCCCTACATTTGTATCTTTGGAGTAAATAGTAGTGCAATTGCTGGGTCATAGGGTAGCTCTATTTTCAACTTTTTGAGGAACCTCCGTACTGTTTTCCAGAGTGGCTGCCCCAGCTTGCATTCCCACCAACAGTGTAGGAGGGTTCCCCTTTCTCTGCATCCGGGAAAGAGAGAATCTTAAGCAAGCTCCACGCCCAGGACAGAACCCAACCCGGGCTGGATCTCATGACCCTGAGATCGTGACCTGAGCCAAAATCAAGAGTCAGATGCTTAATGGACTGAGCCACTCAGGAGCCCCAGGCCCTTTTTCTGTTTAGCTTTGCCATTTTACATTTTACTGTGTGTGTTCGCTTCTTGAACTCTTGCTAGTAACTCGGCCAATTTCGTGAAGTCTGGTTTTTGTTTTGTTTGTTCTTAATGTATTCTGGGCCCGCGGGTATTTTTACTTGGTTACCATGCTTTCTTGTGTATAATTTGCTTTTTAACTTGCCTTTTCTACTTTTTTTCCACCAAGCAGCGCTCTCATTTTATTAGCATTCCCTTATCAAAAATTGGGTTGGATATTATATTTCAAAATGTGTAATTATGTTGTATATACTTGCACATAAGATTTGCATACACCTATTCCCTGTTGTTTACTTAGAATGCAATTCAAACCTATTTCTTAAACATTTTGTTTCTTGAACTACTTGTTTTACTCTAATAATAATAATAGTAAATGTTTGTTGAGGTCTTGCTGGGACTGAAATTCTGTAGCACCTCTCTTTATACTGTAAGATTTACATTATTACCATTTATGATAGCCTTTGTGTGAATGGACTGTATTCATCTTTGTAACCCCAGCACTGTTCCATAGTAGACATTCAATAATTATTCTTTTGTGAATGGTCTTTGAGCTATGATCTACAAGAGCATTTCTGCAAGACTTCTGCAAACAAATAACCGGACTCTCAGTCAGGAACTGTGAAGTGTTCATCCCTAACTGTATTCCTGTGAGTAACAACCAACATAAGTTTCTGCTCTAGGCTTCTCAAAGTAGCCTAATGTCTAATCCTCACAAGTATTCCTTTCTGAGTTTCCCTAATACAGACAGACTGCTTTCTCCTGGCTCACATAGCCAGCCATTACTGCTCCCCATGCTGCCTGCCCTAGAGAAACAGACTCTGCCGTCTGCTCTTCTTCTCTATTGGAAGGATTGTGCATCACTATTAGGCGCTGAAATAAATTATTGTCGAGTGTGGCTCCATAGTCTTACTTTAACACTCTTTAGCATCACTCCATAATGACCACATCTTTAGCACTAAAGGATGAAACCTGAGAAGGTAATACAGACCCCCGCCCTTCTTTCCGCCTTACCTTTTACAGCCACCGCTGCACCTCAGGGCTTCACTTGGAAAAGTATAGGCATACACTCTATTTTTTCTTACACACCTTCGGCAGGTGATCCTTTCAAAATGACAGTAGTAAGAGACAACAAAAGAGACATAAATATGAACAATGTAAGTCTGATTCACCCTGTGTATGTTGCTGATCCTGACGTAGGCTCCCAGGATTTGTGGTCCCGTCTTTTCTAAATTTGCTATGCTATCCCCAAAAGGTAGTTGTTTTCATGGGAGCTTTGCCTAGACTGTTTACTTTCAGCTCTGGCCTGCTGCTACCTGGAAGTCTGCATCACTTTGCAAAACAGGCAAAATATTTTACACCTTACTTAACTAGCTAGTTGACTTGGATGTCTGCTTTCTAATTCAGCCTGATCTTACTGTATGCAGTTTTTTAAAAAATCTGTAAAAAATGGTATTCATGTCATTTGGGCAACTAGCTACTTAAAGAAAATGTATGAAGTAATGATATTGTGAATTGATAGTAATTCTGTTTATGTTGGTAGATATAGTTCTCTTTCTCCTGAAGAGTGTCACCTCTGATGAAGTACTACTATGGTGTAGTCTTTTATTAGATGTTTAAGTTTCGAGAGAAACTTCTAATGAGGCCACACTACCTACCTGTTGATGTCAGTCAATTCATTGTCCTTAGCTTTTAAGTATCTTAAACACAAAAGTGAAGGAATTACCCATAGTCACATCACTGATGGTTTATGATAAAAAATGTTTTGAGAATTCTGAGTCCATTGGGTAAAAACTGATACAGTAAGGCCTTAACCATGTTTTCAACACTGGAAGACTTTTTTCTCATCATCAATGTTTATCAGTGAATGTCTGAGATTTGCCAAATGCACAGCCTTATTAGAGGATCTTTTCCTTAATTTGAAAGGTAAACCAAAGTATACACATCTTCCTTTTCCAATTGATCTTTTAAGATGGATATGTTGAAACAGACAGACAGCTATAGAGATTCATAGATAGGACAGATTTTCCCAGGATACCAATACAGAAAAGGTAGGGCATCCTAAAGGGGAAAAAAAAATATATTTACCATAATTTGAGGGTCAGTGTGTTTACTATTTTTTAATGTGGATTTATGAGGAGGAAGAGATAAATAAGAGTACTGAAAGAATAAGCACTTAGGAGGTAAATGAAGCCAGCTGATCCACTGGGGCGGAAAGAAGAAGGGAAAAGGAGATGATAAATCAGAGAACTCACTAATGGTAGGCAAGGCCATTCTATGGGTGTTAAAGGTTATACTGTGTAAGAGAAATGCTACAGCACGTCCCTGTCTCAACTTCATGTTTCTTGACCTTGGCACTACTCTTCCCTGACCCCTGTTCTAGAACTGAATATATGCAATCTTGCCCCCAGCTACCATGGGACTGAATGAAGAGCAGAAAGAATTTCAGAAAGTGGCCTTTGACTTTGCTGCCCGGGAGATGGCTCCAAACATGGCGGAGTGGGACCAGAAGGTGGGCATTTTCCTTGTGGCTACACGTTCCAACCAAGGCCTCCTGTGGTGACCCTGTCTTCATCCCCTTTTCGTCCTCACTGTTCCACGTTTATTCTCCTTGCACAACTCTTACTGCAAATGAAAGTACTGGTAATGTTGTGATTCCTGTCTTCATCTTGTAGAGACTAGTTTTGTTTTTGTTTTTGTTTTTGAATTGTGCAAAGATTTAGACAGTCGTAAAACCAAGGCAATTCTATGGATAATTAAAAGGAACTTTAATGCGGGAAAACCAGTGCTTATTGAATGCATTTTTTTTTTTGCATTTTTTTATTTTTTTATTTTTTTTATTCTTATGTTAATCCCCATACATTACATCATTAGTTTTAGATGAAGTGTTCCATGATTCATTGTTTGTGCACAACACCCAGTGCTCCATGCAGAACGTGCCCTCCTCAATACCCACCACCAGGCTAACCCATCCTCCCACCCCCCTCCCCTCTAGAACCCTCAGTTTGTTTTTCAGAGTCCATAGTCTCTCATGGCTTGTCTCCCCCTCTAATTCCCCCCCTTCATTTTTCCCTTCCTGTTATCTTCTTCCTTTTTTTTTTAACATATAATGTATTATTTGTTTCAGAGGTACAGATTTGCGATTCAACATTAGTTTTAGATGTAGTGTTCCATGATTCATTGTTTGTGCATAACACCCAGTGCTCCATGCAGAATGGGCCCTCCTCAATACCCACCACCAGGCTAACCCATCTCCCACCCCCCTCCCCTCTAGAACCCTGTTTGTTTTTCAGAGTCCATCGTCTCTCATGGTTCATCTACCCCTCTGATTTCCCCCACTTCATTCTTCCCCTCCCGCTACCTTCTTCTTCTTCTTCTTTTTTTCTTAACATATATTGCATTATTTGTTTCAGAGGTACAGATCTGAGATCTGAGATTATTGAATGCATTTTAACTGCTACTATAGATAACAAATAGCCTATTAAGTTAATATATACACTCTCCCAAATGCAAACATCTTAATCCCTCATTGTGCCCTTTAATGAAAAGTCCATCTGTGAATCCCTTACTGATGACCCTGTTCTCTTTTGTATGTAGGAGTTGTTCCCAGTGGACGCAATGCGGAAAGCTGCTCAGCTCGGCTTTGGGGGAATCTACGTACGAACAGATGTAGGTGGGTCTGGACTGTCACGGCTCGATACATCTGTCATCTTTGAGGCCTTGGCTACAGGCTGCACCAGCACCACAGCCTATATAAGCATCCACAAGTGAGTGCCAAAGCTTGGTGAGCACAGTGAAGTTCTCATCGGGTTGATTGGGAAATTTCAGGAAATTTTGGGAAAGTTCATCTTTTCAAGTTGATTGTCATTGAGGAACCAGACAGGGCACCTGGGTTGCTCGGCTCAGTCAGTCAAGTGTCCGACTCTTGATTTCAGCTCAGGCGGTGATTTCAGGGTCATGGGATTGAGCCCTGTGTCACGCTCCACACTGGGTGTAGAGCCTGTTTGGGATTCTCTCTCTCCCTCTGCTGCCCCCATTCCTTGCGAGCACATGCACTCTCTCCCTCAAAAAAAGAAAAAAAGTTCACTCTAGGTCTGCTGCTGCCTTTTGAACTTGAATCTGCCATCTTGTATGTTGCTTAGAGAATAAGGTCTGTCCGCCTTCTCCCAAATCCTAGATTGAGCTGAAGCAAACAGACATCTCCAGGAGAGTGGTCAGGGCCCTGTTCCCGTCTTCCTCAATCCCTAGGATGAAGCCCCCAGGAATTTGTCAAAGTACATATAACTTTGATTTTTAGGGAACTCATTTAACCTAGAAGCGGCATGAACATCCAAGTGAGAAACACTTTGGCCCTGGTTATCTCTGGGTAGTACGTGTTCCACGAATATGTTTTAACCCAGGCCTTTCCTTTAAAGTCGAATCTTCTCAGTGGTGACTTTTCTCTTCCCACTCTCTCTTCCTCTTCACTGTGCTTTGCTGCCTGTGCTTTCCTTCCCATCCCTCCCCCCTCAGATTTCCTCTTCTCCATATTAACTCTGTCATTATCTTTTCTTCTTGGGGTACCTGTCAGCATGTGTGTCTGGATGATTGATACCTTTGGAAGTGAGGAACAGAGGCACAGATTCTGCCCACCGCTCTGTACCATGGAGAAGTTTGCATCCTACTGCCTCACTGAGCCAGGTGGGTTTGCCGTACCGCCAGCAAGACGTAGCAGGGGATGCTGCTCAGGCGAAGTTACTGAGCACTCTCTTGTCCCCTCGATATGTACAACCCTTGTTTACCACGAAGTTGGGTCATGGAGGAACACAAGCCTAAGAGGGCTGTAGGGCAGAGTCTCTCCAGGCTGCAGATTGGAGCCTCCTTGTACTCAGTGTGCTGGGAGATGGAAAATGGTCTCATTGCTGTCCACAGTTTTCACCAAATACAGAGTTCCTCCAGCTGTCTGCATTTTAAAGTGTGAAACGCTGAACTGTTGGTTATAAGGGAAGATTTCCTTGGAAGTGGAACCATGCTGCGGCCCCCTTACTTTCACTGACTTTCTCTCCCACCCTCTCTGCTTCCTTTTGATCCCTGCCTTAGGAAGTGGTAGTGATGCTGCCTCCCTTTTGACCGAAGCAAAACGACAAGGAGATCATTACATCCTCAATGGTTCCAAGGTACCAGCATGCCCATCTTACAGAACACCTTAGAGATTGTGCCCATCTTTATGCTGACATTGCCTGGATCCTTGCTATCTGCGAGTTAATGTTTCCTAGGAGTTTTACACATTGAATAGAGAACCTCTGACCTATTTCCCTTTATTTACCTACACTTTCTCACTCTTCTGATCTGAGTTCAGATAATCTCGCTCCTTTCTGTCTGTCCTTTTTATAGTCTCATCAGCTAGATCCCTGATTCCCCAGTCAGCACAGGTTCTTTTTACCTCTCCTTCTTTTCTCTGTGCCATCATGCCTCTTAGTGTCCTACTGTCAGAAGGACTCTGATTGCTTTCCCAGGTGTTAGGCTCCAGGGACGGATGTGTTTCCTGATCCCTATATACCCCCTCTCCAACCCTCAGGCCTTCATCAGTGGTGGAGGTGAATCAGACATCTACGTGGTCATGTGCCGAACAGGAGGGTCAGGCCCCAAAGGCATCTCTTGTATAGTTGTGGAGAAGGGGACCCCTGGCCTTAGCTTTGGCAAGAAGGAAAAAAAGGTGAGTGGCTATTGGACAGGAAACAATTCAAGTTCAAACAATCCAAGAGTCTGCCACCTGCCAGACCAACCTCTGTTCTAGGTAAACTATTCCTTGAAATACCACCTCCGCTTTTGGTCTGTGTTTCTTATTCAGCTTCTTATTTTGGCACATTCCTTTATCCCAGGAAGAAATACTTACAGATCTGGTGGTGACTACTCGGATGAAAAGCATATGGGCCACTTTTCTTCTTTAAATAAAAATAAAATAAAACTCATTGGAGATGATCGTGAGTGTTTCAGTCATGTAAGAGGGAGAGTGTTTCTATAGGTGCTTTGAAAAGACGTTCCTAGGATATAGCAATCCCATAGCCAGACCATGAATAGTAGAAGTGTGATTCCATAGCTGTAGCTGGTGGTAAGATGAGACCCATTCAGATTTGTTAGGCCGGGGGACCAGAATAATCATACCCCTCCAATATATACTGTTATAGTTAGGATTTGGGGGGAGAAATCAGGTAATGAAATGACCCCTAACTATACTCTCCTTTCATAGCTCCTAGGGTTTCCATATTTCCCCTCATGAGCTTTCCCGATACTTTATAAACTGCGAAGAGGTAGAGGTTTTAGTGCCCCTTTTCATTTATTAGTATAGTAGGTTTTTACTAGATTCCTACTATGCAAAGCATGCTGGCTCCTGGGGTGAAGGAGGATACAGAAGTTACTCCTAGCCTTATTTGAAATTACAAGACACATTACGTTGTCTTATCTGTATAAAGTATATAAGCTGTAATTGTGGCATATAACTTGTATATGTGATATGTAAGATATATAGCTGTAGAATATCTTAATTCTAGGAATGTCTCCTAGAATTGTTGGGTCATACAACATGGACTGACTTACATAGTCTGACACATAATTTTACAGGATCGAGTTATACCAATTTAGGTTGTTTGTGCTTATAAAGGCAGTGATGATTGTTTCAACACACATAGGTAGTATCCATCTCAGTATTTGTGATGTCTGTTGACAGGATTACCAAAGCTGTCAAATTTCGTGCCTAGAGAAAAATCACAAATAAATTCCAGAAACAAAAAGTATATCTTTTCTTCCTTTCGTTTTCTGCTTTCTCTCCCTTTTAAGTATATACGTTTATCTTTCTTTTTTAATTATTAGTTTTGCTTTATATATTTTTTAATATAAGGGAAATTTGGAAGGACACCTCTGTATTCATTTGACAGCTGGTGAGTGCCCACTATATACCAAGCATTTGTAAACAGTAGGGGTAGAGCAGTGAACAAAGACAAAGCTCTGCCCTCATAGAGTTTACCTGTCAGCAAGCAGGGATGGACAACAGACATGTAAATAAGCAAGGTACCTTCTGGTAATGCTCTGTGCTACAAAAGAGATAAAGGAGATTGATAGGACACTGAGGAGAGCTTGAAAGCGTCTGTAATAGGGCTGACTCCCAGAGGTCATGACTTTTGAGATGAGATCCAGAGTATAGAAGAAGCAACATAAGAAGAATTCTGGGCAGAGACAATAGTAGATGGCCTATTGAGGGAACAAAAAAAAAGTAGTGAGCAAAGAAGAGAACAGCATGGGATGAAATTGGACAGGCAGGCAGGGGCTCGTAGAAGAGAAGAGTCGCTGCCCTGAATGCCACCCTGTTGGGCAGCCATACAGTCCCTGATTTTTGCCAGATGGGGTGGAACTCACAGCCAACGCGCGCCGTGATCTTTGAAGATTGTGCGGTGCCCGTGGCCAACAGAATTGGAAATGAGGGACAGGGCTTCGTCATTGCCATGAAAGGACTGAATGGAGGGAGAATCAATGTTGGTGAGAACACAGCAGGATGGGGCAGGGAGGTAGCCGGGCTGGGGCAAAGCAGCACTGTCCTGGCTCATTGAAATGTTGGCACTCTTCCTTTCTAGCTTCCTGCTCCCTAGGAGCTGCTCATGCTTCAGTCATCCTCACCCGAGACCATCTCAGTGTTCGGAAGCAGTTTGGAGAGCCTCTGGCCAGTAACCAGGTAATTTCCCAGAGGCCCCTGCATTTGCTTTCCACTCTGCCTGCGACCTGCTCTGTGGCCCACATTCTCTCGGAGGGTGAGGCTATGAGTCCTCACTGGAGTTTTGCCCCCATCTTAGAACTTGTGTTCTAATTTTATCAGTAATCTTTTTCACTGAAGCGCAGGGCAAACAAAGTAGGCTTAGAACTCACAAGGCAGTGCATTTGCTCTGTAGAAGAGGCAGGGACTTTGAAGCTTGGGGTCAGTTAGAAAAGGTACCTCATGAGAGGTGTCTTATAGAGGGCCCCAGATCAGGTGCTGGTCTAGGCCTGTCTGTCTTGTCTGGTTCTCTTATCCCCTGTTGCTGTAGTACCTGCAATTCAAACTGGCTGATATGGCAACAAGGCTGGTGGCCTCACGGCTGATCATCCGCAGTGCAGCGGTGGCTCTGCAGGAGGAGCGGGAAGATGCAGTGGCCCTCTGCTCCATGGCCAAGCTCTTCGCTACAGATGAATGCTTTGCTGTGCGTGATGATGTCCTCTAGCTGTCTTGGGTGGACAAGGAGCAGCTGCTAGGTCCAGGGATGTTGAGAGCCATTAGTCTACCCCTGGAGCTTAAGCATATAAATGAACTCATGAGAGGCCTGCTTGGGAGCTCTCAGAGCTGACTTTTTACCTGCTCCGTGCCATTACACACTGCATTCTGTCACTGTCATTTGATTGTGTTCTAGATGAGACACTGCCGTTGAAGGAAGGTTCAGAGCAGCCCAGTGCCTCTTGCTCAAATTTAGCACTGTGCTCTGTTTAAAATGTCAAGGGCAGAGCTATTTCCACATGAGGCTACATTGCCACTAGATGGCATTATAGGTAGCCTCACATAATCCCAGCCAAAGTGCTTGTGGGCAGCTTGTCCCCTGCAAATAATAAAGCAATAAAGGCAGAGCTCTCTGAGTTGCCTGCCTGGTGGGAACTGACAAGTTTAGTAGGTAAACCTCCCTTGTTGTCTAACCACACAGAATACAGAGCCCCTCTTCGGGCTGGGGGCTGGTTATCTGTAGGTTGTTCTTCCTCGTATTAGTTTACAGCGGGCTGCCAGATTGGGGGCTGGGGTAGAAAGAGAAGCCATATGTTCCACAGTCTTCCCCCAGTCAAAGATGTCTAATCCCTGTCTCCCTGAAGATCTGCAACCAGGCTTTACAGATGCATGGAGGCTATGGCTACCTGAAGGACTATGCTGTTCAGCAGTATGTGCGGGACTCCAGGGTCCATCAAATCCTAGAAGGTAAAAATTGCCAGAGCTGTTCTCCAGAATGCTTATAGGATCACCACTTTCCTCAGCCTGTCTGTCCCCATGCTGACTGGTTCTGAGGGTTCCATCAGGCCCTGTCTGTCTTTTGCCTTCCTCCTAACCCGGCACTGGAAGTGTTTGTGGGTGTCATACAGAGCACTAGCTTGGGAGTCTGGAGGCTCTGCTTTGTCACCATGGGTAAGCTATCAAATCACTCCATTTCTGCTCTTTTTCTTTGCAAATTTTAGAGAACGCTCAAACCAGATAATATATGGGAAAGCATTTTGAAAACTTCAATAGTAACTCTTAACTTTTATGAAGTACTTGGTCCTCAGGGATTCCAAAACTTCTGTACAGGGCAAATGTAAGCTAATTTGATCACAAGCAACCTCTATAAATTGAAGATATCTCTATCAATATTGCTAATGGATTTTTCAGTAAACTAAATCATATGGTTATTTTCTCGGCAATCACAGACTGGATTAGGCTGGAAAATGTGTAAACTGCCAGAGGCTGGCTCAGAGCATGGCCTTTTCCACACTCCACACCAGTGCAGAAGTCTTGAAATTACATGACTCTTGTCTCAGCGGGTATAGGCAGACAGGAGTGGTTATCCTGTAGGAGAGCCAGATGGGGCAAAAGCTTATCTAAGTGACTCTTTCAGTGATGCAATGTTGGGCTGCTTCCACGGAGGCACAGGAGAGAGCTGTGGGTGTTGGTCTCTGTCATTTTCAAAGCATTCTTGAACCTGAGGAGGTGTTAGAATCACCCAGAGGGCTTGTGAAAACAGATTGCTAGGCTCCACACCCAGAGGTTCTGACTCAGTGGGTCTTAGGTAGGCCTGAGAATTTTGCATCTCCAAGTTTTCAAGTGAGGCTGCAGCTGCGCATCTGGGAAGCACACTCTGAGACCCACTGCTCTGGTGGTATGTCCAAATCACAGGCTTCTAAAAGTTAGTCTGCTTTCTTCTGCAGACCTCATCCCTGAAATATGTCAATGAGCTCAGTCACTGGTGCTCAAGTTCCCCATAGGCTTTGTCCTCTGATTATTCCTGCAGTTACTTCCTTACCCAGCATTTATGAATGACAAGTTTAGTGGGTAAACTTTGTTGTCTAACAACATGAGACTTCACTTTTATTCTGACTCTGCCTTTTAACCTTGTAAGAAGAAATGGGAAAAGGGGCGCCTGGGTGGCTCAGTTGGTTAAGCGACTGCCTTCGGCTCAGGTCATGATCCCGGAGTCCCGGGATCGAGTCCCGCATCGGGCTCCCTGCTCAGCAGGGAGTCTGCTTCTCCCTCTGACCCTCCTCCCTCTCATGCTCTCTGTCTCTCATTCTCTCTCTCGCAAATAAATAAAATCTTAAAAAAAAAAAAAAATTTAAAAAAAAGAAGAAATGGGAAAAGCCAGGTACATTTATTTGAGGCCATGCCATCATCCACTTACAGAAAATTTGGGGCACTGGTCTCACTTTGGTATCACTTTGTTTCATTGTGAACTTTGTTATAGGATAAATCTGCAAATTTAGATTTGATTTTATTTGAGGTGTGTGATTACTCATTCCTCATGGGGGTTCATATTTCTCTTTGCATTAAAAGCCACTGTAAAAATGGAGCAAGAAGTTGACCCCTCCTTTCAGGGAAAATATTTTTGTTCTTTTAAAATTCACTTTTCTGATTACCAAAGAAATTGGTATATTTATTGTTGAAAGCTTATAAAGTATAGGAAAAGTAAAAAAAAAAAAAAATCATTCATGTTTCCACATTCAGAATTAATATTTTGGATTCCTTTTATATGTAAGTCCAAAAAATCTCCTTTGGGGCTTTTTCTGTACTTTGTAGGTACTTTTTTTTTTTTTATGTGAAGTATAGTTGCCATACAATATTATATTAGTTTCAGGTGAGCAACACAGTAATTCAACAGTTGAAATAGTTTGAGAAGGAAAGATAGTAACTCTTCTTTAAATGTGTGATAGAATTCCCCTCTGTAGCTGTCCAGTCCTGGACTTTTCATGGTTGGGAGTTTTTTGATTGCCACTTCAATTTTGTTACTCATAATCAGTCTATTCAGATTATCTATTTCGGATTCAGTCTTGGAAAATTGTATGTTTCTAGAGATTTATATGTTTCTTCTAGGTTATCCAGTTTGTTGGCATATCATTTTTCATGGTGGCCTCTTATAATCCTTTATGTTTCTGTGGTGTTGGTTGTAACTTCTCTTTCATTTCTGATTTTATTCATTTGACTTCTCTTTTTTTTTCTTAGTAAGTCTGGCTAAAGATTTATCAATTTTGTGTATCTTTCCAAAGAACCAGCTCTTGGTTTCACTGATCTTTTCCCTATTATTTTTTTAGTCTCTGTTTCATTTATTTCACCCTGAACTTTATTATTTCCTTTCTTCTACTAATTTTGGGTCTGTTCATTCTTTTTTCTAATTCCTTTAGATGTATAGTTAGATTGTACATTTGAGATTTTTCTTGCCTTTTTCTTTTTTAAGTAGGCTCCACCCCCAATATGGGGCTTGAACTCATGACCCTAACTCTACCAACTGTGCCACTCAGGTGCCCCAATTTTTCTTGTTTCTTGAAGAAGGCCTGTATCACGATAAACTTGCCTGTTAGACTGCTTTTGCTGTGTCCCAAAGATTTTGGAACTTGTCTTTCCATTTTCATTTGTCTCATGGTATTTTTTTATTTCCTGTTTGATTTCTTTATTGACCCATTTGTTGTTTAATAGCACGTTGTTTAGCCTCCATGTGTTTTTTACCATTTTTTTCTTGTAATTGATTTCCAGTTTTATACCATTGTATAATTTTCTAGATATAAGTGATTTTACTACTTTTTCTTTTCTTTTAACCTTCATACTAGCTTTATAAGTGATTGATCTACTATTTATATCACATGTTGCTTTTACCAGTGAAAATGTTTTTTTCATAATTTGCTTACTTCTAGTTGTTGCCTTTTCTTTTCAACTTAAAGAAGTCCTTTAACACTTCTTGTAAGGTCGGTGTAGTAATGATAAGCTCCATTAACTTTTGTTTGGGAAACCTTTTTAAGATTTTATTTATCTATTTAGTTGAGAGAGAGAGAGCATGCAAGCAGGGGGAAGGAGCAGAAGGAGAGGAACAAGCAGACTTTGTGCTGAGCACAGAGCCCAGCACAGGGCTCTATCCCACGACCCTGATATCATGACCTGAGTCGCAATCAAGAGTTGGACACTTAACCAACTAAGCCACCCAGGCGCCCCTGTCTGGAAAACTCTTTTTTTTTTTTTTTAAGATTATTTATTTATTTATTTGACAGAGACACAGCGAGAGAGGGAACACAAGCAGGGGGAGTGGGAGAGGGAGAAGCAGGCTTCCCGCGGAAAACTCTTTATCTCTCCTTGCCAGGTAGACTATTCTTGGTTGCAGGCTTTTTTCTTTTTAGCACTTTGAATATATCATGCCACTTTCTTCTGCCCACGAAGTTTCTGCTGAAAAAATCAGCTCATAGCCTTATGGGTGTTTTCCCTTGTACATAACTATTTGCTTTTGTCTGGCTGCTTTTAAGATTTCTCTTTATATGTAATTTTTACTATATATATATATTTAACCATATATATACAGTAAAACCATACCAAGACATGTAATATCTCATGTAATATGTCTTGGTATGGTTCTCCTTGATTTATCTTGTCTGGGGCTCTCTGTGCTTCTAGAAACTAGATGTCTGTTTTCTTCCCCAGAGTAGGGAAATTTTCAGCCATTATTTCTTTAAATAAGTTTCCTGCCTTTTTCTCTTTTCTCCTTCTGGGACCCCAATAGTGCAAATATTAGTGTGCTTGATGTTGTCCCAGAAGTCCCTTAACCTGTCCTTTTTTAAAATTCTTTTTTCTTTTTGCTGCTCAGCTCAAATGCTTGATACTGCCCTGTCTTCCAGATTGCTGATCCATTCTGCATCCTGTAATCTGCTGTTGATTCCCTTTAGTGTATTTTTTCATTTTAGTTACTGTACTCTTCAGCTGTTTTTTGTTTTATGTTTTCTGTCTCTGCTGAAATTTTCACTAAGTTCATCCACTCTTCTCTCAAGGCCCCTGAACATCTTTATGACCATTATTTTGAAACTTTATCCAGTAGATTCTTTATCTCTGTTTTGTTCAGTTCTTTTTCTGAGATGTTGTCTTGTTCTTTGATTTGGAGCATATTCTTGTCTCCTCATTTTTGTTTTTGTGTATCAAGTAAGCCAGACTCTCCTGGTCCTGAAAGTAATGTCCTGTATGGAACGCATCCTGGGGGCAATCCCTAGTGCAATCCCTTCTGGTCACTAGAATCAGGCACTCCCAGGGTGTCCCCTGTGTGGTCTGCATGTGTCGTGCTGTTGTGTCTGGGCTGTGACTACCATGGGCGTGTTGGTAGCTGGCTGCTAGGCCCACCTGTGAGTCTTGTGGGTGTGTTAGTGGGCAGCAGTGACTTTGGGTGGGGGCAGGCACCAGTCCCCACTGAGGTTGCCTGCCAGGTGTGGTGGTTAGTACCTGCTTGGAGGGACATCTTCTGGGTTGAGTGTGTTGAGCCAGGCAGGTCTGCAGGTGAACGCCAGGGTGGGGCAAGCAGTACTAGCAAGGTAGGGTGGGTGTCAGATCTTGCTCCCGAAACATCTAGGTAGCAAGGAGGGTGTCAGATCTTGCTCCCAAAGCATCTGGCTAACTAAGCTGTAGAAGTACAAGAAAAATGGCACTTGCTAACATTTCCATTCCCAGAGAAAGTTCCTACAGATCCCTGCGCCTCTGGCACACACCCAAAAATTAGTCATTAAACCTCCCCCATGTATGACCCAGGAGCTTTTCCAACTGCTGCCTCCGTGCTGGGCTCCAAGTGACTGATACTGTGTGTGGGCCCCTTGAGAGTAGTGTCTCAGTTTATTGTAGCTCCCGGGCTCTCCTAGAGTTAAGCTCCACTGATTTTCAAAGCCAGACAATATGTGGCCTCATCTTCCCAGTGAAGATCTCCAGGGCAGGGGCTGTCTGCTGTGGGACTTGAACCTCTGGCTCCTCAGGAAGGACCTCCACACCTGTGATAGCCTCCTGCTTGTGGGTCACTGTGCGTGGGTTTGGTTCTGGACAGTCTCTGCCCCTCCTGCCCTCCTCAATGTGGCTTTTTCTTTATATCATTAGCTATGGAATAGCTGTTCTGCTAGAGTTTAGGTTCTCAGAGTGAGTTGTGCTGTACATAGTTGCAGCCTTAGTGTGTCCACAGGAGGAAGGAAGCTCAGCATCTTCCCTTCTCCCAGGTGAGATGTTTTTAAAAGAGCAAATTTATTCCTTACTTCCTGACATTTTTCTGTACTTTGGAGAGAAGTCTGTAATAATCCCATCCCACTCAGGGTTAAAGCAACAATTGTGGTTTATATCCACTACGACCCTGAATGAGGCTTGGAGCCCCTTGGTTAAAGCTTTACCAAGCTCTGAGACTTCGCTGCAACTAAGTCCTTCATTCTTCCTCCCCCTTGCAGGTAGCAATGAAGTGATGAGGATGCTGATCTCTCGAAGCCTGTTTCAGGAGTAGCACCCAGACTTGATGTTCGGGCGTGATGGTTAATGTACACCTCGAATCAGAGGTTTCATGTGGACTGCAGATGAGGCATGGATTAGATTGAAGGGCTGAGCTCTTCCAGGTGGACCCAGAGTGTTGGGAGCAGCATCAGCTATAGGACTGGGACAGAGTCCTCAGCAGAACTAAAGGAGCTGCCCTGATTGAGATTGTCACAAGAAGACACACTACCTTGTTTTCCTAATGCAAAAAGGTGACCAGGGAAGACTCACCACCAAGTCAGAGTCCTTTCTTGGATACATGTTGTCTTGATTTGTCTGCATTTTGGTGGTTCACTGAATCTCTCTTCCGAGATCTGAACCCTTCCATTGAGGGTTTTTCCTGATGATAAAGCAAAGGTGTGGGAAAGGAGAAATGGAGGAAAAATGCTCTCCTATCTTTTCCTGTGCTCTGCTAAAGATGCAGAAGGTTTCTGTGGGTTGCATTTCCTTTGTAGTACTCCTGTGAATGTAAATCATGATAAAATGAGTATTTGGGAAACCTTACTCCTAGGTGTGATTTAGGGTATATCTGCACTTGTACACTTTCTGAATATCAAGGGCTGAAGTTATTTGGAACTCTGAATGTTTGTTGTTTTCTTTTTTAGAAGCATGTGGTCTAAGAATGGTATTCAAGCTTCTATAGCCCTTCCTGATAAGTACTTTGAGCATATTTTCTTTCTATCTGAGTGCAAGGAAATGATAGGCATATAGAAGAGAGAGAGTTATCTGGCAAAAGTGATAAAGTAGGAAGAGATTCATAAAGAAGGTAGAAATTAAAATTAAACTTTTATGAAAATGTGTAATATGTAAAGAGAACCAAGAAAGTCAGTTTCAGACGGGGGAACGAGGGGCAGGAAAAGTGCAGAATTGGTGTAGGAGCTGTTTGCAGCTTTATTTTGTTGTGCTTTGGGCTTGGCATGGGATGGAAAGAAAATATAAGTTGAATCTGGATGGAGAGTTGATGGAGAGTTATGAAAGCCAAAGTGTGGGTTTTATTTCATAAGTAGTGGAGAAGATGAGAAGAGTTTTAATGAAGCTATAATGAGATAATTTGTTGATAAGAACATTCTGGAAGGCATATGCAGGATGAATATGAGGAGGGGAAAGACAAAGATAAGGCATGTCCAGTCTGTAGGTTCTGGAAGTAATTAAGGTCAGAGGCAATTCGAGCCTGAACTTGGAAGGTAAAGGAAAGAGGATGTAAACAGATACAGACCCATGCTTAGAATGTTTGCTGTGGAACATGGAACATGAAGGTCTCCCTCGTAATTGGGCTGCTTTCTAGCATTCACTTCTGAGGCTTCTGTTCAGATTTGAAGCAAAAATAGGTATTATATTAATGTCTTACTATTTGTGTCCCTCATAAGAGACTAATGAAATGCCAGTTATTACAAATGCAATTCACTCTGTCACCCTCCATTACTATTCAGAGTTCAGTTCCCCAGCAGCCTAGCAAGGGATTTGACCCCTGTGGCAAGAACGTAGGGACATTCAAGCTAATCTCTATCACTGTTTATTTGGCCATTCCATAAATGAAGCCAAAAGGAGCAGAACAAATATGTCTTAAGGAAAACCTCTATGCCAAGTACTAACACATTTACAAAGTGCGCTGGGGCACAAGTAGTCTTGTGATCCTAACATGATGACCTCAGTGAAAAGTGGATTTCTAAGTTGTCTTCATAATCTCTTTAAACTATATTCCCTTATAATACTTTTACAGTTGAGGGGGAAATCTAATTGTTTTGATTATATGTCCCTTTAAACAGAGGAATGTTTAAGTCACCCATTAAAATTTTCATCCTTTGAAGATTCAGTAAATTAGAAATATCTTATTTACTTATTTGCTTTAGTGCTTATCTAGTTATGCTTTTATTTTAAAAACACTAGGACTTCTCCAAAGTAGTTTCCTGCGGATTATCTCCTATATCTCATGATTTTCACAAGGAGCTCCTTGCATGAATAGGTACTTGAGATACTTGTTGTGTTAAACTGATCTGAATTGAATTAACAACCCTGATGAAAACAGCAACTGCCAATGTTACTGTTCAGTTATGAGACTGGACTATGGATTCAGGCTCCCATATCTGGATTTGATTGCTAGCTTTATTCACTAACCATGTGACTTTAAGGAAAAAAACACTTAAACTCTCTGTGCCTGTTTCCTTAAATTATAAATTGTGTGTGTGTAAATTGGAGATAAGGATCCCTGCCTCATAGGATAATTGGTGAGTCAAGTGAAAGAATCCATATAAAGGCCTTTGAACAGAGTACATTAAGCAGTCTCAAATATTAGTATTATCAATCTCATTTTATAGGTGAGCATAGTGAACTGTAAAGAGATTAAGTGACCTGCTCAAACTTACACAGGTGGCATGCTGAAGGGTTAAGACACATCTCTGCCAAGAACCTTTAAAAAGTTAGAATCATGACTACTAGTCATTTAGTGCTAAATACCAAATAGTTCTGGTCTACCTCTCTCCAGGTAGGTAAGTGGCAGGATTGCATTTTCCCTTTGCCAACTTTACAGAAACGTATACGTACATAAACAGATTTCTAAGGTTTCTCCCAGGATCTTAGAAGGGACCCAGAGCTTAAGCTTTAGTTTCACAGTAAATTTCCTATTGTCTGTCCTCTCTGCTTTATCTAAACATCTCCATATATATTCTTCTACCCAAAATTTGTTTCCTATTTGGCACTCAGGCTGTTATGCCTAGGAGTTATGATCAGCCAAACACCATATGAATGAATGCTCTCCTTTTAAGCGTGAGCAGGTGAGGAGTGCCTGTCACAGTGTCATGACAAACACTGGAATAGCATGGGTCCCTGCGTCCCCACTCCAACAATTCCCAATTAGTGATTCCCATGGGAAGGAAGAGAGGAGGATCCAAAGAAGCCACTTAAGTGGGAGCCCAATGGACAAGTTTTTCCAATTAAAATCCAGTCTCCTGCTTGGTGGCCTGTGGCAAGGACTGCCTGAGAAGGGAAAAATGAGCCAGGATAGACAATATTCTTTCATTGCTTGGAATGGAGCAAAATCCAACACCGCTAGCAGGACCCCAAAAGCTTTTCCCTCCTGCTCCAGGAGGACTCAGATTTCTCTCTGTTACTTGTAACTGAGGGTAGTGGTAAGTGTGCACTCAGGTCTTTTTACTTTTTCCTCCTGTCTACTTGTCTTTTCAGCCGGTTTCTTGATCCAAAGCCCAGGACATTCTGGGTCAGGCAGGGCAACTAGAATATTCACTTATATCACCACAAACAGAAAGGAATCTTAGCTCTCTCTGATCAGGCATTCTTAATCCCCACAGAACAGAATGAGGGGTTGCCAGTTCTCTTCACACCAACAGAGGAGGAAGGATATTCTGAGCCATCATGCTCTAGAAAAGAGGGGGGCCTGTGATTTATTTCCAGTGCAGTTCTACTCAGTGTTGGTTTGGTTCTTTCCCCCACACCCAACTTTAACATGGGCATTATGGTTTCCTCAAGAGCTATATAAACAATACTCCAAGATAGTCCACTGGTTCCCTTCCCCAGCTGTCACCCAGACTGGGGCCCTGAGCTACCCACACTATTCCGGCCTTTCTAAAGAAAATTTCAAAGTATCACTGGTTTCCATTTTTCCTTTAAACCAGTCTGTGGACTTGGGACGCCTGGGTGGCTCAGTCGGTTAAGTGTCTGCCTTCGGCTCAGGTCATGATCCCAGGGTCCTGGGATCAAGTCCCGCATCAGGCTCCCTGCTCCGCGGGGAGCCTGCTTCTCCCTCTGCCTCTGTCTCTCTCTTTCTCTGTCTCTCATGAATAAAAAAATATATATATATATATCTTTAAACCAGTCTGTGGACTTAATGGGCCATAAGATTCTTCCACCAGACTCAGGTTGTAAGTCAGAAATATATTGGATTCATCTCTTTATTCTTGGTTCATTCTTCACATATAGTAGGAGCTCAATGTTTTTTGAGCAGATGAAGACTAAAAAAGCCATCACCACCAATATGATACTAATTGTAGCTGCTGGCAAATACTTTTTAGGAATAGGCAAGACACACCATCAAAAGTCAGCTAACTAGATGCAAGAACTTGGATGGACCTCCAGGAAAGTTTGGTGAGTGAAAAGCAAACTCAGAAGGTTGTGTACTGTGTGATCCCATTCATATGGCATTCTTGAAATAATGCCATTATAGAGGTGAAAAACAGGATTGTGGTTGCCAGGGATTTGACTTGGGGGAGGGAAAGAGGGTCTATAAAAGGGGAGCCTGGGGGTAGGGGGTGAACCTGTGGTGGTGGCCACAAGTAAGTTTGCAACTCTCTCCGGAGTTTCCCAGGTATAATCTGAAACCAGCTTTGTGTAGGGCTGGGACAGACCAAAGAAAGGCTGACCATTCCAGGTTGGTAGGTTGCAGGGTTTTTTTGTTTGTTTGTTTTTAAAGGTTTTATTTATTTATTTGACAGAACACAAGTAGGCAGAATGGGGAGCCTGATACAGGGTTCAATCCTAGGACCCTGGGATCATGACCTGAACCAAAGGCAGATGCTTAACCAATTGAGCCACCCAGGTGCCCCGGTAGGTTGCAGTTTTAATAAGCAAAGGGAACTTACATATGAGTCTTGTCTTGGTCAGCAGCAAGACAGGTAGATGCCTGCACCAGCCTGTTAAATCTTAAAAATTTTTAAAAAGGGAACCTCTTAAGTGCCCAGGTCGAGCTCTCTGGTCAATCAGTGGTCACATCTTTTTGATCAGGTTCTCCAACATCACACAAAACCACAGATGTGAAACAATTGCATAGAACTGTATACACATACATGCAAGTAAGCATGCACATAACTGGTGAAATCTGAATAAACCTCGTGGATTGCACCAATATCAATTTCCTAGATGCTACTGTTGGGGGTGGAGGAGTAAGGGGTACCTGGGACCTCCATACACTATTTTTTTTTTTAACAACTTTTTGTGAATCTATAATTACTTCAAAATTTAAAAAATTTAAGTTGACCACCTGATGAAAGACTATACTTGCAGGACCTAGCCTTCCCCATCCCCTGCTATTGGTGGCAGCCCTGTGTGGCCTCTACTCCTTGCACTGCAGTTCACTGAGCCTGGCTTAGGAGAGGGGATGGTGACAGAGGGTTTGAGCCAAGGGAAAGTGGGAAGACTGAGTGAACAGGGCAGTGGTGGGCCAGGTATTTAGATTGGTCTTTACTTTTCAAGCCAGTGGGTCTATGCCTACAATTCAGGCCCTTGAGAGCAAGGTTCAAAAACCCCATGCTGTCCCCATCAAAATACCATCCATTTTTTTCAAAGAAATGGAACAAATAATCCTAAAATTTGTATGGAACCAGAAAAGACCCCGCATAGCCAGAGGAATGTTGAAAAAGAAAAGCAAAGCCGGCGGCATCACAATTCCGGACTTCCAGCTCTATTACAAAGCTGTCATCATCAAGACAGTATGGTACTGGCACAAAAACAGACACATAGATCAATGGAACAGAATAGAGAGCCCAGAAATGGACCCTCAACTCTATGGTCAATTCATCTTTGACAAAGCAGGAAAGAATGTCCAATGGAAAAAAGACAGTCTCTTCAACAAATAGTGTTGGGAAAATTGGACAGCCACATGCAGAAGAATGAAACTGGACCATTTCCTTACACCACACACAAAAACAGACTCCAAATGGTTGAAAGACCTAAATGTGAGACAGGAGTCCATCAAAATCCTAAAAGAGAACACAGGCAGCAACCTCTTCGACCTCAGCCGCAGCAACTTCTTCCTAGAAACATCGCCAAAGGCAAGGGAAGCAAGGACAAAAATGAACTATTGGGACTTCATCAAGATAAAAAGCTTTTGCAAAGCAAAGGAAACAGTCAACAAAACCAAAAGACAACCAACAGAATGGGAGAAGATATTTGCAAATGACATATCAGATAAAGGGCTAGTATCCAAAATCTATAAAGAACTTATCAAACTCAACACCCAAAGAACAAAGAATCCAATCAACAAATGGGCAGAAGACATGAACAGACATTTTTCCAAAGAAGACATCCAAATGGCCAACAGACACATGAAAAAGTGCTCAGTATCGCTCGGCATCAGGGAAATCCAAATCAAAACCTCAATGAGATACCACCTCACACCAGTCAGAATGGCTAAAATTAACAAGTCAGGAAATAACAGATGTTGGCGGGGATGCGAAGAAAGGGGAACCCTCCTACACTGTTGGTGGGAATGCAAGCTGGTGCAGCCACTCTGGAAAACAGTATGGAGGTTCCTCAAAAAGTTGAAAATAGAGCTACCATATGATCCAGCAATTGCACTACTGGGTATTTACCCCAAAGATACAAAAGTAGGGATCTGAAAGGGTACGTGCACCCCAATGTTTATAGCAGCAATGTCTACAATAGCCAAACTGTGGAAAGAGCCAAGATGTCCATCGACAGATGAATGGATAAAGAAGAGGTGGTGTATATATATATACAATGGAATATTATGCAGCCATCAAAAGGAATGAGATCTTGCCATTTGCAATGACGTGGATGGAACTGGAGGGTATTATGCTGAGCGAAATAAGTCAAACAGAGAAAGACATGTATCATATGACCTCACTGATATGAGGAATTCTTAATCTCAGGAAACAAACTGAAGGTTGCTGGAGTGGGGGGTGGGGTGGGAGGGATGGGGTGACTGGGTGATAGACACCGGGGAGGGTATGTGCTCTGGTAAGCACTGTGAATTGTGCAAGACTGTTGAATCTCAGATCTGTACCTCTGAAACAAATAATGCAATATATGTTAAGAAAAAAAAAAAAGAAGATAGCAGGAGGGGAAGAATGAAGGGGGGGAAATCAGAGGGGAAGACGAACCATGAGAGATGATGGACTCTGAAAAACAAACTGAGGGTTCTAGAGGGGAGGGGGGTGGGAGGATGGGTTAGCCTGGTGATGGGTATTGAGGAGGGCACGTTCTGCATGGAGCACTGGGTGTTATGCACAATGAATCATGGAACACTACATCTAAAACTAATGATGTAATGTATGGGGATTAACATAACAATTAAAAAATTAAAAAAAAAAAAAAAGCCATGCTGCTCCATAGCATTCCTCAGGGGGAGATCAAGACCCTTGGAGGCCTGAAAAGATTTGTGTCTCCTTCCCCACTCCCATAAGCAATATTAAATGATAAAGGATCTTGTATGCCAAGGAGTTGGATTGAAAATTGAGAGGGAGGCAAACCATAAGAGATGCTGAACTCTAGGAAACAAACTGAGGGCTGCTGGAGGGGAGGTGGGGGGAGGGATAATTGGGTGATGGGCATTAAGGAGGGCACTTGATGTAGTGAGTACTGGGTGTTACATGCAACTGATGAATCACTAAATTCTACCTCTGAAACTAATAAAAAAAAAAAGTTAAAAGTGGAACTACCCTAAGATCCAGCAACTGCACTAGGTACTTACCCAAATACAAAAATTCTGATTTGAAGGGATACATGTTCCCCAATATTTATTGCAGTGTTATCAACAATAGCCAAATTATAGAAGAGGTCCAAATGTCCACCAACTGATGAATGGATGAAGAAGATGTGGTCTACACACATGCACAAGCACACGTACTGGAATATTACTCAGCCATAAAAAAGAATGAAATCTTGCCATTTGCCATGATGTGAATGGATCTAGAGAGTATTATGCTAAGTGAAGTAAGTCAGTCAGAGAAAGACAAATACCATATGATTTCACTCATATGTGGAATTTAAGAAACAAAACAAATGAACATAGGGGGTGAAAAAGAGAGGCAAACCAAGAAATAGACTCTTAACTATAGAGAACAACTGATGGTTACCAGAGGGAAGGTGGGTGGGAGGAATGGGTTAAATAGGTGATGGGTATTAAGGAGGGTACTTGTGAGTACTGGGTGTTGTATATAAGTGTTGAATCACTAAATTCTGCACCTGAAACGAATATTTCACTGTATGTTAACTAACTGGAATTTAAATAAAAACTTGAGGAGAAAAAGAAATTAGGACTTCTCAGCAGGCTTTGCTTTTTCTTTATCTGTATTTTCATGGTCACTCTTTATTATTTTGATAGCTCAGATGACCATTTAATATGACATTGCTTATGTCTTAACACATTTAGCAGGTACTTGTATTCTTAGGACTTTTTTGTTTTGAAGACAATTTTTTTTCTCTATAAAAAAACAATTATTTTCAAAGAGAACTGCTTTCAAAGTTTCATTTATGTTGGTACATTAGAGAGCCTTAAACAAAACCTGTAATTATATAGTAATTGAGTTAACTATTTGTAGAAATTTATCAATTTAGTCTTATTTAATTTAGTCATTTACATTTTGCCAGTTCTCGTGTCAGACTCCTTCTCCAATATCAGCATTGTTCTGAACTATGGATGGATTGCTTGATCACTTTTATTGTTTAAATAAAAAGAGGCATTTTCTCTTATGGAAATTTTCTTTCTTTATACTTTGTGCAATTAAGTCAGAATTGTGGAGTTGAGGATAGCCAAAGAGAATGTTAGGGAAATCTAAGCCCTGCCCACCAACCAGACTCCTGATGACTTTCACATCTGGTTCTATTTGTGGAAATGGCCTTAGCATTTCCACAAATACTTATTTGCTCCTTTTATTGCTCTCACTAAATTCTGTTCAATGTCTTGCCAGTTTATGACCATTCAGCTCTATCTCTCTTATCTGACCCCACCAACATTCTTTGGAATTGAAGCTGAAGTCCAGCTGCACTTGATGCTCTAATTTTTTTCCCCACCCTCTGCTGCTTCTATCTCTGTCCAATACCCACCTGTCACTCAGAACTCTCTGGACCCCATACAAGGTGATTGCTCACTCAAAGAACACACTGGTTGGACTTCCAGTTTTCTCCTTGATGGGAAAATCCAGCATATTTTTCCTGTAAGAAAGAGCTATGTTCCAGAATTATTTTTCCCAAGAATTATCTGCAATTTATCTTACCCATTCTTACACATTTGTGGCACACCTTTTGTTGACTGGCAAGCATCATTTCAGCCACCTTGTGTTGACTGTCAGAGAACCTGCCACCTTTTCAGTAAGAATAGTGGCAGCAGTATTTGGGGACATTTCATGCACAGCTGTTGGGTTAGTGGGTCATTGACCTTCTAAATATTTAGCATTTTCATAGTGAAAATTATTTTCACTCCTCTTCTCCAACCCAACTTGTGTTTCTCTAAGCTCAAACAACCTGTCCCAAACTAGAATGAAGTCTCAGTTCCACCATAGATTCTCTGCTGTTGACTAGGAAATGTCCTTTTTGAGGAGATTCAGTGGGATATGACCAAAACCTCAGCCTTCCTTTTTATAATATTTAAGGGATACCTGGGCAAAAAGAAAAGAGTACTACCTATATCTTGCCATCAGCTTTTTCTTAGCTATGAACAGTTTAATGGGTTTTCCTGGAAAATTCTCTTATAAGCCAAAGTTCAACCTCATCTGATTATAGAGAGCTGTAGATATTATGATGATCATGGTTTATATACACAGAGGATCCAGCAATGTCAATTTCAGTCTCTAGATCCTTCATTTCCTAAAACCACAGGTCAGAAATATGTATATGGGCCCATCTTTTGAAGCATCTAAGCATGCAGTCCTTTATTATCTAATAATTATTTTTATTACTATCATCTTTCATGAGTAAAATTTTCATGCACAAAATCCTCAAGGGCAAAGTATCAATATGAGAAGTTTGTGGCAAAGCTTAATTCAATTTCCATCACAATCCTTGGTAAAGCATGTCTGCTTCTTTAGCCTAAGGGAAGATGAATCATTTTACAAAGACTAAAGTTAATTTTTCTAAATGACTGCTTTTTTTGAGTCATTAAAGACAGTCCCTGGCTGCTTACTGATCCTTCTTGTTCAAAAAGAAGTCTGTGCCTTCTTTTTGCAACATTCCTCAGTGCTTTCTTCATCACTGACATTGTTTCTCCTGATTCAGGAGGACTCCACCTTCATTAAGTGGCTTCCTAAATTATGCATTCACTCAACAAATACTTACTGAGAGTCTATAATTGCCAGGTGATGTACTAGGTGACCAGATACTGTCCCTGTTGTCAAGAGACAGATGTAAAAAAAAAGGAAATAGAAAAAAAAATCACTTAAAGTTTTTTTAAGTATTAAGGAAACAAAGGGTTGGGAAAGAAAAAGTAGGGGGTTCAGGGAGGGAGCTAGTTTAGGAATAGCCTCTAAAGGTAGAGGGAGGTAGCCATTTGAAGGATGGGAGGGAAAATATTTCAGATTGAGGAGGTAGCACATGTAACACCCCCAAGTCAGAAGAGACTAATGTGTGTGAGAAAGGGAAAACAGATTTGAATGGCTGCAGGGAAGTCAGGAAGGGAGAGTCACTGGAGAGATGGGCAGGAGGCAGGGGCTCAGAATGAGAGGGACAAATTCTACATGGATTATTGAGGTCTGCTTATCCAGAAAGTAGCCCACCAACTATGGAGACTATCAAACAAATCATCCAGAATTGTTTGTTTTTAACCTAGGCCCAGAACAGCTCTTAGTGGTCCTGTAGAGATAAGCCTTTTGGGGAAAGCAGGGCATTTGGGTTTTCATCCTCACTGCTCTGAGAAGCCAACACATCGGTTTACATAGGGGAAGGAGTGAGATAGTTTGATCAATGTTTTAAGATCATTCTTGCTGTTTGGTGGAGAATTAGACCGAAGGAGGGTGGGAATAGTGGTAAAAAAGAATAAAAGTAGGCTTAATTTCCCTGTATTTTGATATTTCACTTCTTTAAAGGATCTTGATTCTCCCATTTTGTGTTTTAGATAACAAGAGAAAGTAGAAAGCAGGACAGTGTCCTCCTAGCTTTCCTTGGTGCCATCTCTCTCTTCTTTCCTTCCTTCCTTCTTTCTTCTCTTAGTGAGCAGGAGCTGTGGATACACAACATTTGTCATACTTGTCAACACTGCTGAGTATTAAGCTAAAATAAATATTTAGAAAACTTTGTTCCTAAATTGCAATTAGACTGTGTATAACCAAGATATTAAGAGGATGAGATTTTATTTGCAAATTGAGTAGATAAAAACATATTTCTTTGGGGCACCTGGCTGGCTCAGTCAGTAGAGTATGTGACTCTTGATCTCTAGGTCATGAGTTCAGGCCCCACACTGGGGGTAGAGATTACATAAAAAAAATAAAATCTTAAAAAAATACACACACATACACATATTTATTTCTTTGGCTTCAGGGGTGGGTTGTGGAGTAGAGTACAGCTCCATTTCCCCAGTCAGAGGATCTCTCAACCCTACCTCCCCTGGGGTCTCTCAAGGGTTAGTGTGGGTTTTCTGCAGTGGTGAGAGGGAAGAGAGGACTCTTCCCTCTGTTTTTTTTCTTTTTCCCAGGAAATTTGATGCCTTTGTTTGAGGAAACAAACTTAAGCCTTACAGGGTCTGTTTGCTACTTAAAGTGAAATGATGCAAACAGGCATACATTTATCTGTGCCTGTGTTTTTTCCTCAGGTCTGAATGGTCATTGATTCTAGTTACACAGTTTTTAGGGTTTAGGGAACTGTGACAGATCTAATTATGTTTTTTGAGTCAAGATTTCAGTTATATTTCTATTCATTATAAAGCTGGAGTAGTGAAATTAAAGAATTCCTGAAGAATTCCACAACTGTTATTCTCCTGCCCCCCTTATGGCAGATCTGAGGCTATTTTGATAGATAAAAACAAATGGAGAGTCTTGTTTATATAAGATGCTAACTAATTAATTTGTCCAGAAATTACTAGTAGTCACCTTTGGACCAACACAATTTTATTTAGGAAGAACCCAAGATTTCATTTCCAAGGTAGAAAGTCGATCTGATTCAGCTGTGATTTTACCTAATGTCCCACAGGCTTGTGCCAATCCACCATCTCCCCATACAAGAAGTTCAAGAAAACAAGGATGAATATCTTAATTCTTCTAGTGGAGCTATTCTATATTTCTAGCCTATGAGTGTGACACTTAGAGGATGATTAAGAAAAACTAGATCTTCATTAAATTCCTGTTACAGTGTAGTAAGACATCTTAAAGTAGAGAATGAAGATGATCAGACTTTTTCAGAGAAACCAGCATCTTCAACAGAAGAAAACTGGAATTTCAAGAAAATTTTAAACACATTGACAGCCAATTTGAAGAAAATACATATTTGGAAAATACCTTCAATAATATCAGTATATGTGACCCTAAATCATTTGATACTGGGTCATGCAGTGATCTCCAAAGTGACTTTGAGAATGAAGATCTTCCCAAACAAGGATTAAATGAAGAAAAAGCAAAATTGGTGAAGCAGATTCAGAAGAAAGAAGACCTTCTTCAGAGGTGAAAACTGGTCAAAATGTACAGGTCAGAGAATGACCTGTCTCAATTACAGTTGTTAATAAAGAAATGGAGAATCTGTAGCCAGCTGTTGCATTATGAGTTGCAACCAGCTATGTCTAAGGAGAACAAGAAACTCAGCCTGACTCAGTTGATAGACCACTGTGGGTTAGATGATAAATTGCTACACTATAATAGAAATGAAGAATAATTTATGGGTGCTTAATTCATAATTTTTTCTCCAGAATATTTTTGAGAATGGCAACTTAAAAGATACTTAATACATTTTAAAAGGAAGATAGAAACCATTAGGACTTGCAGAAAGGTATCTTAATGAACATCAGTTTAGGGCACTCTGTTATATAAATATAAACTAAGTTCTAAAGTGAAAATTTAACATTTTGGATAAATTTGTCAAAGAAAACTTGATATTTAAAGAAATGTGAAAAAAATTAAATCATGTTTAAAAAATAATTTGGGCATCTCTGGAAGTCAGTTTTAATACATTGTTTTGTAAAAAAAAAAAAGTTTTATTTTTTACCACCTCACACTGGTCAGGTGGATAAAATTAACAACTCAGTTAACAACAGATGGCGAGGATGTGGAGAAAGGGGAACCCTCTTACACTGTTGGTGGGAATGCAAGTTGGTACAGCCACTTTGGAAAACAGTGTGGAGGTTCCTCAAAAATTTAAAAATAGAACCCAGGTGGGGCGCCTGGGTGGCTCAGTTGGTTAAGCGACTGCCTTCAGCTCAGGTCATGATCCTGGAGTCCCGGGATCGAGTCCCGCATCGGGCTCCCTGCTCGGCAGGGAGTCTGCTTCTCCCTCTGACCCTCCTCCCTCTCATGCTCTCTGTCTCTCATTCTCTCTCTCTCAAATAAATAAATAAAATCTTTAAAAAAAAATTAAAAAAAAAATTAAAAATAGAGCTACTCTATGACCCAGCAATTGCACTACTAGGTATTTATCCAAAGTATACAAACAATGATTCAAAGGGGCACATGTACCCCAATGTTTATAGCAGCAATGTCCACAATAGCCAAACTACGGAAAGAGTCCAGATGTCCATCGACAAATGAATGGATAAAGAAGATGTGGTATATATATGTATATACATATATATATATATACACACAATGGAATACTATTCAGCCATCAAAAAAAAGAAATCTTGCCATTTGCAACAATATGGATGGAAGTAGAGGGTATTATGGTAAGCAAAATAAGTCAATGAGAGAAAGACAATTATCATGTGATCTCACTGTTATGTGGAATTTAAGAAATAAAACAGGATCATAGGGGAAGAGAGGAATAAATAAAACAAGATGAAATCGGAGAGGGAGAAAAACCATTAGAGACTCTTAATCATAGGAAACAAATTGAGGGTTGCTGGAGGGGAGGGAGGTAGGGAGATGGGGTAACTGGGTGATGGACATTAAGGAGGCCACGTGATGTAAGGAGCACTGCATATTATATAAGACTGATGAATCACTGACCTCTACCTCTGAAACCAATAATACATTATATGTTAATTAAACTTAAATAAAAAAATGAAGAAAAATATCTTCAATATTTGTGTTAATTTATACATTAGATTTGATTAATTCTTGGAAACAACAACTTAAAAAATCTTCCCATAACAAATGTGAACTATTATCATAGGCCTCTTCTTTATTGTTAGGAATTTGACAAATTAGTAACTTGGGAAATTAATAGAACTCAATTTGAAATTTGATTAAAAGACAAGGATTTTTGTATAAGACCCTCCTAAACATAACAATTAGTTCATTACAAGCACTTATTTTCCCAGGATGGGAAAAATTCGTTGGCAATAGAGTATTTTCTGTGACATACAAACTGGTGTTCTGCTAACACTTGCATTTTCAACTGAAAGTAACACTTGTATATTTGTTGAATAAGTGCTGTATGAAGGAAATGCATGCACTTGTCATGGTCTGGGGAGAGAACTTAGGGATACAAAAATGCTTAAAATGTGGTTCTTGGCGTGAAAGAACTTATCACATCACTTGCCATCACTAAGGATTAGCTCCTTGGGCTGGGATCAGAGTCCCCAGATCCTGGGTGCCACAAGCTGCCCCCAGTGAGCATGGCTGGCTGAGGTCCACACAGAGCCACTTTTGAAGGAGAGACCTCTTCTGGGAGCTTGCAAGAGAGGCCATGGGTCCCAGTGGAAAACCTTCCTAGACTTGAGACATCCTGTTCCCTCATCAGCCCTCTGCGACATGTCTCTGGTACCTGACCTTTCTGAATGGGAGCTAATGACCCAACCAGAGCTACCTGCAACCCCTGCAGCCTCTCAGAACCTTTCTCTGCCTTGAAACAAGCATTCTGTCTCCTCGAATGTTAGTATGTCAACCTCAGATAATTGAGTCCTTTCCCCCATAAAAATGGATGCAGGTTGTTTTAAGGTCTTGTAGTTTATCTATGGATAAATCAGATCTACACATGGCCAGTTCTTTTCCAATGCCACTGATTCTTTGGTGGATCACTTGATACTAATATAAACCTGACATCAACTCCA